TAGTTCCGCCAATTTGCGTTCGGCTGCAACCATTCTCTCTTCGAGTGCCATGTATCTTTCCCGATACTCTCTTGTTTCTGCTTGAGCCGCGAGAAGGTCTCGAATGAGTTGGTCTCGGTGGTGGGAGTCTCGTTCCAGGTTTCTGGTGCGATCCGTAGTAGACTGTACAATGGCACTTAACTCCCGGACCTGATCTGTCGTTGTCCTACCACGATCATCCATTCTTGCCATTCGTTGTATCGTGACGGGGAGAGCCCTGTCAGCCGGTCCACCATGAGTGAGATCATAGTAACCTCGTTGGTAGCCATATGGTGACCGTTGGCGTTGTTGTCGGCTCCATCTTTCGATCGTTGTTACCCAAGGGGGTTCAGGTCCATTGTAACCAAAACGGTGCGCGGGTACCCTCGCGATGTAGGGAGGGTTGAATACTTCTGGTGGTTCCTCCGCTTCGTTCCCAACCATGACTACCTCATCACCTTCCTCTTCTTCCTCTTCTTCCTGGTCGTCTTCCTCTTCTTCCTCTTCTTCTTGGTCGTCTTCCTCTTCTTCTCCTTGTTCGTCTTCCTCCTCGGGCTCCTCCTCGGGATCCTCCTCGGGTTCCTCTTCGGGATCCTCCTCGGGTTCCTCTTCGGGATCCTCCTCGGGCTCGTCTTCGATCCATCCCGCGTTTCCCTGATTGGGAAAATAGGGGTCCCCGGGTATGTGAAATCCTGCCATGTCGTCTGCACGAGAAACGGGATTAAGAAGTACGTATCGGAAGATAATAATTTGGCGCTATAGAAACGTACAAATACTCATATAGTATTTTTAAATGTTTATATTTGGTTCTTAGCGTGTTCTTTATGGAGTGTAATTAGGTTTTCAGATTTGTCGCTCATTACGACTATTCCTTAGTGTGCGTAAGTTACTTCTTGGATGGATATAGTTGATCAGGCTATATCCTTCCCAGAACTGATTACACATGCTAAGGCGTATTAATAATGTTCGACTCCTCCTCTTTCAATTTATGTTCTCCTAAGTTATGACACCATGCTAGTATAGATGCATGCAAGTATACTTTAAAACAAGAAATTATTTGTTTTCTAAAAGTACAACTCTTTAAATCACTTTAAGAATCAGAGACTTTTAGTCCCAAATGTGTTTATAGTTTGTATATCTTATGTGGTTGACATACTTAATTCACTATAAACCGTGCTCTGATACCAATCTGTCACACCCCCAAACCAAGGATGGCGGAAACGTCCGGGGGTGGAGGACTTCATGTATAGCATCATAACCACAATTTTAATAGTAATTTAAGCAAACACAACCAACATATATATAATTGAAAAAGTTACATCACTTGTATGAATTACATGTTTCAAAATCAATTACAATATGTTGTCAAAATGTGAAAAGTTTGACGCCTTAACGTCCCATCCTCAAAAGCACTTGATAACCTGATTAGTGTTTTCCTGTGAATACAAGTTGTTTGAAAAGTGTCAACACAAAGGTTGGTGAGTTCATAAGCTTTTATTAATAAACTTAGTAGGAGTATTTCACATGTAAATGTCGCGTTTGTTTCAGAAAAATCCGGTATTTCCCTTGAAATCCGAGAAATGTAGCCTTATAACCAAAGACTAGAGTGTATGAGAAATCATCGTTTCTTAGTAACAATGTTGTGAGTTTAAAATGTTATGGAAAGTAAAATTTCTTTATCAACCTAAAACCTACTTCGGTTTTATGAAACCCCGTAAACTTCATGAATTGTTATCCCCCTAAGTGAGTCGCTATAATCATACTGTGACTATGTGAACCTGCCACAACGTTTCTCAGGCGTCGCGAAAATGAAATGACATTTGTCACCCGTAGACCTGCAGGTCCCACTGTAGCTAGCAGCAAGGTGTGGGGTGTCAAACCCAATATAGATCTATATACAAGTATCACGTTCTCCCTCAAGGAGATTCTGATTATAACTACCAGGAATTATATCCCGCACTCGGACGTACGGGGAGAGAGAGAGAGAGTCTCACAACATAGGTTAACAGGTTTACGTGAAATGTGTGTGAATATAAATCTTTCTTGTATGGATGTACCCTTTTTGGTACGAGTGCGTTGAGTGATGTATCATAAACTATACCTATTATAGTTTATCTAAAATGTATGTAATATGTATGAATCCTCTTATGGAAATGTATTAGTATTGTGAATTTATCAAACTATACTTTTTATAGTCTAATGATACGTGTTCCAAAATGAATGAGTAATATTTAATATTTAGTATGAATTTCATAGTTTCAGTTCATAATGGTAAACTAACAAGGAAACACATACAAATACTAAAACTTATGATTATACACTTTGCTCAACATAATACAAAGTGTTATGATATTTACATGCTGTTGGCAAAATTTAGCGATTCTGCCCTGTTTTGGAAAAATCATAGAAAAATCATACGAAGTCGAAATCTAGATCCGTAAACTCTGAGAGTTCACAAAATGTGTCTAGTTTGTTCATAATTTTTATCACAAATTTATGACCTCTAACTTGGGTGAAAAAGTCCAAAATCACAGACTGGTCCGGATTGTTGTTTGAAATGATAGGCAGTTTTGTAAAAATCACCATAAATTGTAGAAAAATCGTATGGAGATGTGCAAGTAGCCATTTTAAAGCTAAAAACTTGAACTATTTGCACCTTGTACAGTTTTGAAAACAAAAATATTTAAGATTCCCAAAACAGTCCGTGAATGGAGTTGAACTTTTCTGATGAAGGCTGTTAGAAAATTTTTGATAGGTTCTTAGTGTTTTAACTTGTATTCACCCCCTGAAAACTTGAGAAATTATGAAAATGTAGGGGTATGAACTCACCTTGAGTGATTTCAGTAGATGATTGTTGAAGGATGGAAGTGTTTAATTCAAGAACACTTGGAGATGCCTTGAAGGTTTTCGAGAATCTAACATCATAGTTAGGGAGTTTATGTAAGCAACCAAAGATTTGAGTAGAATGAAGTGAAATAGTAATAGGGAGGATGAATTTTTACTTACTAAGTGTGGAAGAACACTTGAAATCAGCCTTGGATCTCGAAAATTTGTGTAGAAGAGTTTGAGAGAAAAAGTGGTGTTTGTTACTTAGTGGAATGAGAGAAATGAGAGAAAATGAGGAGTGTGGTTGTTTGTTCCAGCTCAAAAACGTGGGAGTGAGTGAAATTTGAGTGTAAGGGAACATTGAAGTGACATAGGTAAGGTGGGGAGGTATGGCTGGTCATAGAGTGGGTGTGGGGTGGTTGCTTGTGTCATAAGTTAAGGCAAAGTCAACACTCTACCTTAAATAAATCCCCCATTAAATCTTTATTATTTAATTAATGATTTTTATAAAAATATGTTTAAATTATGAATATTTAGGGTTTATTATGTTAAAATAAAATTTCTGGAGAAAATCCCGCTTTAAAATCACGAAAAACGGGCTTAAAATGTTAAAAATATCAAAAATGGGCTGAAAATGACAAAAATGCGAAGCCTGGCCGAGGTTCGGCCCTCTTATGCTGAACCGAGAGAGAGAGGGAGGCGGAACCAAGAGAAGAAGAAGAGAGAAGGGAAGGAGCCGAGAGGAGAGGAGAAGGAGGGAAGAACCGAGAGTGCGCGAGAGGCAGAGAGGCGGAGTCGGACCGAGAGTGCGCGAGAGGCAGAGAGGCGGGGTCGGACCGAGAGTGCGCGAGAGGCAGAGAGGCGGGGTCGGACCGAGAGTGCGCGAGAGGCAGAGAGGCGGGGTTGGACCGAGAGTGCGCGAGAGGCAGAGAGGCGGGGTCGGACCGAGAGTGCGGCGCGAACAGAGAGTGGGGGCGGACCGAGAGGCACCGAGCGCTCTGTCGTGAACAGTACTTTCGGTTCCGGTTCTTGCTTCTTGCTCTCGGTTTCGGTCTTCTTACCTTCGGTTCCTAAGAGGACCTTTCGGTCCTAAGGAACTTCGCCTCTTATAAGAGGGTTTCGGTTCCTAAGGTCCATTTTTCTCGTTTTCGCCCCGTTTTAAGCCGTTTTTGACCCGGTTAAGGGCCGGAATGACCCGAATGATTCCAAAAAGTCGCGGGAAGCTTTTGAGAGAGATTTGGGAGAGATTTCTCACACTTGGAGAGATTTGGGAGAGATTTGACATTCTTGGAGAGATTTCTCATACAAAGAGATATTTGCGAGAGTTTTCACATACTTGGAGGGATTTGGGAGAGATTTGACATTCTTGGAGAGATTTCTCATACAGAGAGATATTTGAGAGAGATTTCACATACGTGGAGAGATTTGGGAGAGATTTAACACTCTTGGAGAGATTTCTCATATAGAGAGATATTCAAGAGAGTTTTCACATACTTGGAGGGATTTGAGAGAGATTTAACATTCTTGGAGAGATTTAAGAGAGATTTGTCATAAACAGAGATAGAGTGAAAACGATTGAGAGAGGATCCATGTGGGACAGTTGTGAGTGTCCGGCACCGCAATGCATGGTTCGTAAACCCTGTTAAGCCTTGTTTAAGGATCTTACACATTCCCGATGAGTATGCAACATGGTTTTCATCAGTTTAATTCACTGATTAGTACTAAGGCTTAGGAAATTTTTAACACAAAACTTTTCTCTAGTGATGTTTTCCCATTAATATAGCAAGTTATACAATACGAACATAACACCAACTCTAATACACAAGGTTTAATAGAGTTGACCGGCTTGACTTGATGACTTGACTTGACTCAAGATTGACGATTGTCACATTTTCCTTTGGGTGATGATATTTGCAGTCTGATCCGTATTTGCAGTTTCCAGTGTGCATTAAATAACGACATTCTGGTTCCCTAGGCCGTTCGGGCAGATTAGTAGAACCAGAGGAATAGGGTTGTTCAATGTTGCCTGGGCCACCATAGATGCTGCCCGAACTTACCGAGCTCAAACTTCCCTGACCAAAACCCAAAACCAAACAAACACCATATCAGACACAATATTTTAACTCAACAAAAAATAAATTACAATTTACTTTATTTTAGACATCATACTTTTCATAACCCACAAACAAAAACCCAGAATTTACATCAACTAACCTTACCATGTAAGTGCTCCAACCTTGTGTGGGCCCAATTCCTTGAGAATGAGGAAGAACAATTGGTAAATAAATCAGAAACATATGTTGCCCTAGGTAATGACCATGTAGAACCACCATTAATAAGAGGTGGTGGTTGTGATGAATATGGGAATTGAATGTTAGATCTATCCATTGATCACTGTGGATGATGAAAATTGCATGCCATTCCAAATTTACAAGATCCTGTGCACAAGCTTTTTCTTCCTAATTAAGTGTTTATAAGTTAGTTTAAACTATCATTTTAAAGAAAAATAGAAATTGAAAATCAAGATTAGTAAATAGCAACCTGTCTCATAGGTAACCCAACCATGTTTAACACCACTGGTCCAACACCTCTCCTATCACGAGGATGATTGTATTTGCATGTTGATCCATATTTGCAAGTACCCATCTTTGGAAAATACTGAAAAAAAAAGGATGTGAAATTACTTAATTATCCCTAACTATCATCGTCAATATGATGGAGAAGAGACTTACCACACAGTCTGGTTCTCCAACTCTTTCTGGAAGCGTGCCTCCAAGTTGAAGTTGATTGGCCTGATTAAGAATCGAATTTCAGACATGAAGAGCAACAATCGTTTTATTCCGATTGAGAAAAATAAAAGGTTTTTTTTTACCTGACCAATGTGGGTTGGATGATTAAACCTACAAATGTTCCCATAGCCACACAAGCCGGTTCTTAAACAAAATATACAATCGGGTTCACCAGGACAATCTGGGTAGGGCATCGAACCCGCCATGGCAGTTCCATCTTCTTTCCCACCTGTTTAAATTCTCAATCTCCTTACAGCTTCTATGATTTGAAGAATTTTAATAAAAAAATCAGACACACTTTGTAACAATTAAACCCAAGGATTCAAACAGTTCGTGATCGGAAAAAGATGGGTGTGGGAGATAAAGTAATCAAAACTATCGTACAGAAATGGGAATTGGGAGATAGGGCAAAACAAACAGAGAAAAATTAAGGGGAAATGGAAATAGAACTGATAAAATTAAATTGTAACAGACTAACATCATATATATATATATATATATATATATATATATATATATATATATATATATATATATATATATATACTAGCCGTCTACCCGCGCAAAGCGGCGGACGGCGAATAATTTGATCTCTTTAGAGTTAAAACCATTTTGTGTTCACTTCGAGAAATGAATATTAAATGAAATCTATTTTTCAAGAGCATTACCATACCATATTAAGGGGTGTTTGGCTAAACTTTTTTTAAAACAACTTATTAGGTTCCAAATCACTATAAGTTAAAAAAGTGTTTGGATTAAAATAACTTATTCCGGTGGAGAACCTCTAATACGTCATTTTTTTCATAAGTTACCCTACACTTACTTATTAACTTATAAGCTAATAAACTAATAAGCAATAAGTTTTTTTGCCAAACACCCCCTAAATGGTTATTACTTCCATTTATACATACCCAAACCACTTGTACTGTTTATCGTTCTCTTTTTTTTTTTTTTTTTCATTTTCCTTATTTCTTTTATTAATTTAATGTCCTACTAAGTAAAATGCTAAAATATATAAATAATAGTTTATAAAAATAAACCTTTAAAATATTAGGTGTTGTAATTCAAAAGTCGATAAATAAGCCTTTGAGAAAGCCAAAATACTCAAGTATCAACTTGTTCATTGTGATTTTAAACCAAGTTTGGTCACAAATTAAAACATTTTCAACGATGGTATGTAATTCAAGGATTCATATTGATTTAGGTTCTTGAAACCTTAAAATATTGAACAAAATCTATATAGACCTTATAATAAGGACAATAATCACCGTAATCAGGAAGTCCATGTGATGAAACTTAATATTATAAGGACCAATGATGAAAAAGGTTTCATTTTTAGACTAAACGAGATGAAAAAAATATACAAACTACCTTAATCATGTCAAATCTTGTGTTTAGCCGTTCTTTATTGCAAAAGCAAGATGTCAAAATATACAAACTAATGATAAATACAATGCTCTAACTGACTTCTTGGTATAGTTCTTTGAACCTGCAAAGTCAACACATTAAAGAAACATAATAAAAACCTTTTTAGGAACAAACCTGATATAATAAAGCATTCACCCAATATATTTATAAGATAAAAATACAAAAAGTTAAAAATGATGAAATCGATTACAAGTACGGGTTAAAATAAAAACCTGTTAAGAAAGAGTCATCTGTAGGAGGGATATTTGAATCAACATCTATTTTCTGATGGTTTCAAATTTTGAATTATCCGAAATTCAGGGAAGGAGATAGAATTTGTTGAGAAATATAAGGATTCAAAACACAGGTTAAAATTTAATATTATTTTATTGATGACTACTTGTACTATTAGCTTAATGATTTGAACGTCTTAGAAAAATAATATTATTATATTCAATTTATTTTTAGAAATAATGAGATTTCTTTTATAAGATAGTAAAGATATATATATATATATATATATATATATATATATATATATATATATATATATAAACTGATGAATATAGCATTCAAAATCGCGTTCTTCAAAACTAATGGGTTGCTTTGAAAGTGTAAATTACTCTTAATCATGGCTTGTCCCTATATTTTCATTTACATCTTCCTATTGTTTGGATTTGTATAAGTTTTTGTCTAATATAGCCCTTATTGAAGAAGGGAGATCAACAACGCCGATTTCTTGGATAAATATTAAGCGTTGATAAACAATTCAAACGTAAATGAGCGGATTGGAATGAAACTGGTTCATATCTTTGCTAATAAACAATTCAAAAGTCAAAAATTCTCGGTGATTAAATATATAAAACTTATTTTCAATCGAGTTTAATTTTGGATATTAAAACTAATTTGCTTAATCTTAGGATGTGATTAATCGACAATCAAAGAAATCCATGTGTGGGAAAATTAGTCAAATATTTTTTGTGGTAGTGACACGAGGCATAGTGGTGGCTTAAAAGAGTGCCATGTGGTATGTAGGAGAGGTTTTTATTATATATATATATATATATATATATATATATATATATATATATATATATATAAAGTAATTAAGGATTCTAGAAAATATCATTTTCGGAAGTCTAAAAATAAACCTGAGTCTCAAAACAAAATTATAATAAAAATGTATTTTTTTTTTCTAGTTACTTTAAAAATCACTATAAATTACTTGTGATCAAACAATATCTAAAAAACCTCACTAAAACTACATAAATGACAGTGTTACAATTTTTCAAGAGAGTAAAAAAAAAAAAAAAAAAAAAAAAAACCAACGCAATCCTTCAAAAACAGTCAATTTCATTTCCATCATATACCAAACACAGATAGAAGTGTATACCTTGATCTTAAAACTATATAGTAGTATTTTTTTTCTCCTCCGTTCTTATTTTCCATCCGCAATTGGTTAATTACAAGAAAGCCCCCATATCATGTCAGTAATTTACACACTACCACTCCTCTATATGACTCACCTACAAATTATAAGCTATGATGAACCCAAATGTAACCCAAACCCAAACTGCTTTTGTCTCTCAAGTGGAACTTTTTCAAGCTCTATATTATTACCATCTGTCTCCTTATTTTCTTCTTCAATTTCAAGTTCTTTTAGAGCCTTTTTAGCATAAATCGTAAAACCAATAGTCATTGCAACTGCAATGATTAAGGAGATGGCGTTGTATATAATTTCTAATGGAGTCAATGTATGGTTTCTGTACTGCACGTCTGCAAATGTCCGTATTAATCGCCCACTGCATAAATATTTCAAGTGTTAAAAAAAAAAAAAAAAAAAAATAGTTTAACATAGCATAGGTCTAATTGCAAGAAATAGCAGTGTACTTTCACTTTTTTTGTGTGTATTATAGCATCCTACTTTTGTTTCTTTTTAGGGCTGATCTCAAAAAAAAAAAAAAAAATTTATTTTGTGATTTCAAATTTACTTTTTGACAAAAAAAAAGACCTTGTACATTTTCATTTTTTTCGAAAAAGTCCTCGACTTTGTATTTTTTTTCTGAAAAAAAAAACCTTAACCTTCTAAATGCTTCCAAATAAACCCTCAACGTTTTTAATTTTTCTCGAAAAAACCCTTGTATTTATAAAAATAAAAAATAATAATAAGAATAATAATAATAAAAGGAAAAAAAATGACTAAAAGGGCTAGATCGGAAAAATGAAAAAATACAAGGTCTTTTTTGAGATTAACCCTTCATTTTATTAAAGCATTGTACTTTTGGGTTTTTTTTCTTATTAAACCTTTTTATTTGAAAATTCTAGCAATTATAGCATTGTGTTTTTATTTTTTTTCTTATTAACCCTTTTTATTTGAAAAATCTAGCAATTATAGCATTGTAACTTTTTTATTTTTTTTTCTTATTAAGCCTTTTTTTTCTCTTACTAAGCCTTTTTAATTATAACAATGAAGATTGCTTTTTATATTGATAATGTTGCTAATAGACTTTTGGAAATACAATACTGTAATCAAAAGAAATGAGAATAGGATGCTAGAATAAACAAATCACTGAAAGTAGATTGTTTGCATTTAACCCTATAATTAAAGGGCTAAATGGAAAGAAATGACATACTTTGATTTATTTGTGTATTGCAGCATTCTACTTTGTTTTTTTTCTTTTCTATTACTGCATTATACATTCAGTTGTTTTTTATGAAGGCAATGTACTTTAAAAAACTTACAAATTATAGCACTATACTATTAAAAAAAATTCTTTTTTGGAAATTGTATTTTGAAAAATCCAATAGCATTGAGAATTGCTTGTATGTTGATGACATTACTATAATTTAGTAGATTTTTCAATGTACAATGTTGTAATACAAAAAAGTTAATAACAATAAAACAAAAACATGTGCACTAAAAAAAGATAAACTGAAAAGATGAATACAAGAAACAGAAACATGCTTTCATTTATTTATGTATTATACCCAATTCTAGCATCATACTCTAGTTTACATTTAATTTGTATTAGGACATTATACTCTGAAAATCTACACAAGTATACATATGAAATTGCTTTGTATATATAGATAACATTGCTATAACTGGGTAGATTTTTCAAAATAAAATGTTATAATAGAAAAATAAAATTAAAGTAGGATATGCTATATTTTGAAAAACACCCAATTATAGCATTATGCTTTCAATTTAACTTTTATGATGACATTTTACTTTCAATTTATGGCATTATCTTTTTTTTAAAAAAAAAACTATCATTGGAAACAATGTTGTAACAGGATGCTATAATAAAGAAATTAATGAATGTATTACCTATAGATATAAATGAAGGCTTCTGGAATCATTCCTGCAATAGATCCAGAGAGATAAGGCCAAAATCTCATGTTTGTGACTACAATTGCATAGTTGAAGATTGTGTAAGGAAATGGTGAAATCCTGAAGAGTGCAACAACCCTAAATTGCTGAAATCCGTTTCCTTCTCCAGCCAATCGAATCATGGCAGCTGTCTGTGGCCATTTCTTCAACCATTGCTGCAAATTACATAACACAAACTTAAACAAAATAACTCAAACCTTTTGCTATAATTAGGTATAGATGTTTCAAAGTATAATATCCTAATAAGAAGAAAGAAAATGAAAATGTAAATGTAAATGTATAGTTAGGTAGATATTTCAGAGTACAATGTTTCTTTCAATAAGGAAAAATGAAACCACAATGTTGTAATAGAAAGAAATGAAAGTAAGATGCTATAGCATAAATATAAAATAAAGCGTGTTATCTCAATAGTGACTTATGAAAGTAAGATGGTATGATATAAAAGTAAAATGTTGGATAGATTTTTCAGATATAATATGTCCTAATGAGAAACTTTATGGAAATGCAATGTTATAATTAATAGGGTAGAATTTTCAAAGTACAACACCTTGATAAAAAAATACAAATAAAAAAAAAAAAAAACAGAAAAAGTACATTGATGTAAATAATAGAAAGAAATAGATGTTAATAATATATAAGCAAATAGAAGTAGATTGCAAAGTCTTAAATAACCTGTTTTGGTAAGTTTTCAGTCGTAATTTCCATTTTTACCCATTCGTAATCAATACTTATAATTAGGAAATCCAATTGTGGTCCATATAATGTCCTGATAAAAAATAAAAATAAAAATAAAACTGAAACTACAACGGTTTAGTCTATGTTTAGCTGAAAAAAGTAGTTGTTAGTTGAAAAACTAGCTGCTAGCTGAAAAGTTGGTTGATAAAAATGATGTTTGGTAAAAAACGAGTTGGAATATATATAAAGACATAAAAAGGCATTTAGAAAAATGTGATATAGATAATTAACTAAGGGTATATTTGGAAAATATTAAAATTTAAATAAAAAAAAAACTCCTAAAAAACTAATCTAAGTAGCTTTCAAGCTACTTTTTGGTTTGCCAAAAATTACAACTTAAAAAAGCTCGAAAAATAAACTAGTTGTGGTGCGCTAAACACAGCCTTAGCCTACGTTTGGCATAACCAAACTAGCTAAAAAGCTAGCTGATAGCTGAAAAGGTAGCTGGTAAATAAAAAGCTAGTTGTTAAATAAAAAGCTAACCGGTAGCTGAAAAACTAGCTGATAAAGAATAACATTTGGTAAAATGGCATAAAAGGACATTTAAAGATTGTGCTTCTATAATTAATTTAGGGGTATGTTTGGACATTTTTGAAAAAACTAGTATAAGTAGCTTTTTAAAAAGCTAGATGATAAGCTAGCTTATAAGCTACTTTTTGGTTTGCTAAACGTGACAACTTAAAACAGCTCAAAAAATAAGCTAGCTGCGGCGTGCCAAGCACAACCTTAATACAACGAATGTCATCTCTTTCATTTATCCCTTTTTTGGTAAGTTCTTTATATTTAAGGAAGGGGGGGTATTTTAGTCATTTGATGAATGATTCAACTTACATGGATACGATCACGGAAGAGTAGACCAATAAGATAAGGTAAAATCATCCCAATAGTTGTTCCAACCATGATTATCACAAATCCAATTCCATAACCAAATATCATCCCCGCAAGCCACATGGAAGGCCCAGAAGGAATCAACAAAGCCGGGAAAAATGCCAAAGAAGCTACAAGAATCAATGCAAGCACAGGGCGACCAAAGGCAGTCGCCTCCCATTGCAACATCGGTAAAAGAACCTACACAAAATCAAAAAACCAAAATGACAAAAATACCCTTCGGACAACAATAGTAGAACAATTTGAGGGTATAGTAAGATAATAAGACTAATATATTATTACCTTCTCAAAAAGAAATGGCACACCCCATTTCAAGAAAACAAGTGATAAAATAATAGCAATAATGGACAAAGTGATAGCTTTGATCCACCATTTGATTCGTGTGTCTCTATTTTCAGTTTGAAGTTGCAAGATATCGGCTTCTGTTGTCCTTTCATTTGATATAACCAATCTCACGTGTTCACTGTCTTCCATTGAAAGATTTCCATTAGTTGCCATGTGTTTTGTAATATCCACTTGTGATGGCATCTTGAGATCTATTAAATGGAAGAAGATATATGTTCAACCATTAATAATCATGATTTGAATAATGGTGTAATAGAAAGAAATGGAACTAACAGATTGATTTCATAAAGATTTCATGTTACTTCCGATGATATAGTGTAATTTAAATTCTGTTATAACCAAATTGTCAAGTTCTCAAAAGAGTTTTACTCAAACATCTTAAAATCCTTGAGTTCGTAAGTGTTCTTGGATGGAATCCCAAACGCAACCAAAAAATTGAACTCGCATATGTCGCCTGAATAAACTTGTTTCGATGTTGCAGATTGCATACTGGTTCTTGTTTTAAGGTAACAGAACATTTCAAAATGAAAACTCATCGTATCTAATTGTAGATAAGAAATGGAAAGTTCCGATTTCAAAAATCAAAAGTAGATTTAACCTCGAGAAGTAAAAGTTTTGCTTTAAGGTATCAGGGACTCCACCCAAATTCGCTAAAACTTGCCCTAGTTTATAAAATCCTTCCCTTATTAAGCATGAAATCAGTGAACTAAACCCAAATCGCAGCTTAGCTTCATGCACGAAAAGATGCTGCATCAATTAGAAGGGAAAACGAGAGAAAAAAAATGTGGAATCGGATTCTTTTCTAAGGTTACATGAAGTCTGAATGATCCATCCAAAAGAATTGCCAAAAGATCAATCAAACATGGAGACGAAATGAATAAAAGGGTTTTGCGAACACTTACAATCAGGCGGTGAACGTGGAAGCGTTGCGCCGTTGCCTGAGCAGAAGAACACCGGCAACTTTTTTTTACTTTATCGGTGTCTCTTTCCCTTCAAAATTTCTTGGGGTTTGAGGGATCTTTTTAGTAATTGGGGAGGGTTGTAGGTGTAACAGAGAGAGAAAGAAAAGAGGGTTATCGTGGTTTGCTTTTGATTTTACTGAAAAAGGTGGCTGATCATCATAGCCTCATAGGGTGGCTTCCTTGTAATCTAGCTTAGGGAGTAGTTTGAAATTTGAATATTGGATGTATCGTCAAGAAAGTGTAAACCAGTACGCCATTTTAGAAGAATATGCCATTATCTTTCTTCATTCTTCTTAGTTGTATAGTATTTGATCACAAAATATTTTATGAGAATTAATCAAATACTTGTATGACTTGGATTCTTGGAAAAGAACCTTCTATGTTTTTGACCAACTGCCTACCAACTCCTCCGATTTCCCAAGTAAATTATTTGGTTAAGAGCCTTAATCTTATAACATGCCAAAGTTGTAGTTCAAAATGGCTTCAAAATATATTTCCTATGTTCCTTTTTCAATTATAACTTTGAGTTTCATTTACAAGTATTTTTCAACTAAAGAAGCATTATGTACATATCAACCAAATCATTAAGGGGTGTTTGGATTAGATTTTTAGCTTATTGTTTATAGTTTATTAGTGGTGGGAATAAGTAATAAGCAATAAGCATGGGGATGAATACTTATTAAAATTAGCTTATTTAGCCTAATAAACTGGATTTTATCCAAACACTCAAATTAGCTTATTGTGGGAATAAGCAATAAGCACCTCTTTTTTTTTCCTATCCAAACACCCCCTAACTAATATTTGTATTAAAACATATGTTTTGCCGGAATAAGGTATTATATTTTAAGTATAGTTGTTTACGGGGTGTTTGGAATTATTTTTTAAACTTAAAAGTTTTTTTTTTTAATAAAAGTTCTTTTTAATTTTAATTTTTAAGACCATTTCCATTTTTTCCTTATAAATGGAGTAAATAATGTTTCATTTCCAACTCATCTCTATTTTTTCCCCCATAAATTGAGTAAATAATGTTTCAACGCTAACCTTACTCCATTTTCTACCCCATTTTTTACCCTAAAAAGATATTCTTAGAATATTTCATTTTTATAACTTATATATATTATCAAATACACCTCTCTACTAGTTAAACTCTATATTTATGTTTAATTAATATATAACATGATATTATAAATATTAAATACTGCATTTAAATTATAATTAGTAGATAAAATAAACTAGAAATGTATAAAATAAAAATGAGAGGGATTAAAATTGACAACTAAATTTCACCTCCATTTTTGGAGATATGAATAGTATTCCCCCATGGGAATACTATTCATATCTCTAAAAATGGAGGTGAAAATTGGATAGGGTTAGAGAAAAATGGAGGAAGAAATGGAGTTTGGGGGTGGGTTGGAGATGCTCTAATGAGGCAAAAGCCAAAAGTTATTTTTAAAAAATATTTGGGTTATATTTATTGACTTTTGTGTATAATTGAGCTTTTAAAAGGCTAAAAATCATATTTTTCTGATTTTTGAAAACTTTGTTTTTTTCTTCTTTACAAAAAATTATTTTTAATAAAACTTTTGTATTTCTTAAACATCTTTTGATATTTTTGATTTTTTGAAAAAATTGAAAACAAAAAAATAATTTCAAAAGTAATCTCAAACACCTTCTTATATCATATTCATATTTAAAATCAATCTATCTATAGTCATGAAAAAATGATTGGTTTCAAACCAATTAAAAAAAATTATCCATCCAAAAAGTAATTGGACCATTTTGAGATTGGTCGGATACGGGTATAAAAAACACTATAAGCCCAGGTTTATAACATAATTTTTTTTATTAGTCATATATTTATTAATTAAATATTTTCCAACTTATTTCATTTTTTTTATTAAATTTCAATATACCATTTTAGTGTATATATTTGTAATAGAGAACCTAAAATCGAATCCAAAAAACCAAAAACATCAAAACTAGACTAGAAAAGGCACACAAATACCACGAGACCAAACCGAAAAAGATCAAGTTGGTCCTAAAAAGAATAGATCAAAAAAAGACCGTTCTGAATAGGACCAAACAAAAAAACCATTCGAGATCGGTTAGAAAAAGGCATGGACTGATCCGAGACCGGTTCCAAAAAATTAGATGGTTTTCATACTGATCTGAGATTGGTTCGGGACTACCAATATGTAGGTTTTCCCCATATACTTGTCGGGTTTTATTACATCTATACATACAAGATCACAGTGGAATAAACAAATAAATTCATATGTATACACGCACCTTAGGATCTAGGTTTTACTAATTATAGCAACCTACTTTTATAATCAACTAATGAAGGATAAAAACACTAACCTCTTGATCTTTTGATTGAGACCGTGTGATTGTCAGCTCTTGCAAAGGATAAAGGACCTAACGGAGAATCCCTCTAATGTAGTCAGACCCAAGGCTCCAAGAAGCACAACAAGAAAAACCCTTTCGGAAAGGAATTTCGAAATTTCTATATCCTATGAGAAAGAATATAAATTTCAAACTACGAGAATATGGAAAGAAAGAGGAGGATAAATTTTAGAGAGAACAAAATGGTCTAGGGTCAGCAACTTGAATCCTTAAGTTGGTCAAATTCTTAGGGATAATCATTATCATTATCAAAACACGTCTTATCCTAGGAAATCTCCTAAATTTCGTCCCTAACATCTTTCTAAGAGGCTTTTGGAATACTCCAATTAATCTCTATGAATTAATGAATACTCTAGCCTTTTAATTAATTAAAACTATTTAATTAATTATCAAAATAATTTCCAATTAATAGCTTATTATTTTCTTTATATCCTTATTGATAATTGTGTCATGGGGCTAATCCAAAAGGACCATGCTATTATTTAGAAATATTATCAATAGTTAATGACCTTGGACACTATCTCCAACAATCTCCCACTTATACAGGTCATCAACTATTTGAGGTCTAATATTTCTCAAATAATCAACAAAGAGTAGTGTTGGGGTGCAAAGTTCTCCATCTGATGATGACTTAAAGGCTTCACCCCTTTTATGACATATATAGGAATAGCCTTGTGACTTATGGATTGAACTTCCGTATATGTATAATAGTTCAATACTTTTGTAGGATGAGAGAGCTCCCATTTTGTGTAAATGAGTAGATTAGTTTGAGAGAGAGCATTGTAGGAGCAAGCACATGCTACAACAAATTTTGTTCTACTCCATTTTATCTATACAATGGTGCTTAAATGTTAATTCGTTTCTTTCGATTATGTAATTCTACATTTCGCAATTTCAAATCAAGATTCATGTCCTAAAAAGTGGTATTATAGCCAAACGATGAAGATTCAAGCGATTAGTTCATGGAACGGTTCATGATTTGACTACATTATTGCGTATTCGACAAAAGATTCAAAATCTTTGGTAAGTCTCTCCAATTGCGACGTCCCAAAAATAGAGGGTAAAATTTCATTTTTAATAATAAAATCAACCATTCATTTCATTGTTTCCAAAAGACCATCATAGTATAAAATGTATATCCTCAAAACAACAATAACAAATCAGAGTAATCATGTGGAAAATCATCGGTGGATGCGATGTGATCAGCCTGAGATCTTCCCCTTAGAACCAGATATACGTGAAACATAAACATGAAACCGTAAGCACAAAGCTTAGTAAGTTTCCCAAAATACCACATATCATACATAATAATGGGCCCTTCCCGATACAAATCTATCATTAACATGTGATGGACCCCGCTCAACACATTCATCAGGCCCTGCCCAATATACATACAAACACAAACAATACATGCAAAAGTCACACAGACTGCTAACATCCTATAAACATAATCAATGGGCCAATATTGGTGTCTTCGACCTACAAATATTGTGAGGAGACTCACCTCAATCTGATGATAAACAAATCACACACTCGAGTTGTTGCTACCCCTACTCCTCACGTTGAACATATTCAAAATCAACCCTAATTAATAATATGGGTAATAACCCCTAATCAATGGTCCAAATCATGTTCTATCTTATTAAGGGTAAAATACCATTTTTACCATTTCCATTCTTGACCCAACCAATCATGGCCCAACCCCAATATGACTCAAGGCCTAAAAAAATGGCCTAAAAGGATTCCTGGGAGTACACCATGTATACCTCCCTACTACGCCCTGCATGTTGGGCTACAACAAAAGGAAAACTTGGGCTGAACCCGTTACCTCCTACGTACCAAGAGGGTATGCCCGGATTACTCCCTATGCCCAAGACTCATAATGCTTAAAGACTAAATGTCTAGTTCATAGCTCTAACTCTTTGGGAGTTCTTAACTGATAAAGTTGGCAACTTTAAGCTTTTGCATGGCTTAATAGGGCCTAAAACCAAATCCTAGATTCATAAATTCACTAAAGGACCAATAATTCATGCATGGCTGGACTATAACCTTCGAGATCCAATTTCTATGCAATAAGGACCTTAGAAACATCAAGAAATGCTAACCTAATCTTCTGGAGTAGCTTTAACTTACAAGAGCCAACCCATAGGACCAAAACATGCCAAAACCTAATCTATTCTAGATCTATGCAAGAAAATCATAAAGGTTGAGACTTTATACCTTTTGGAAGATTATGATGAAGAGTAGAGTCTAGATCTATGAACTATGGACTCCAACCACACCTTCTAAGTTCTTCTACTTCACTATAACACACCAAAAAATCACAAAAAAGCTTGATATTCTCACAAATTGAGTTAGGGTTTCGAGGGGGCTGAAAGAGAGGGTGGTGGCTGATGGTAAAAAGGGTCTATGAGGGATTAAGGTCCTTAAATAGGGTCCAAGGCCCTAAACTTAGGGTTTTTATTCAGCACAAGTACGACCTGCATACTCAAAGAAACCCCATGTCCATGTTTAATGAATTATGCCCCGCGTAACTCTCAATTACGCCCAACGTACTGACTTATCTGCAAAAATTAATATATACAAATCTTAAAAGAATTTTCCTTGGAACCAGGAATTATAATTCTCACCCACTTGAGTCAGGCTTCATCATCGAAGTCCACCATCACAAATAACTCTGGGTAATTCTCCCTCGTCTCCTCCTTAGGCTCTCACGTCCACTCTAAACCCATACGGTGTTGTCATTACACCCTCACTAAAACCACATCCTTGTTTTGCAAAGTCTTTGCTTTCCTATCTAGAATCGCAACCGGTCTCTCTATGTAGTTCAAGCACTCGTCCACCTGAATATTCTCTAATGGCACCACTACAGAATCGTCAACCAAACACTTTCACACCTGTAAGAACGTGAAAAGTGTTGTGAATCTGTCTGAGCTCCACGGGTAACTTCAAACGATAAGTAAACCTGCCCACCCGGGATATAACCCTGAAACAAACAATACATTTGGCATACAGATTTCCCCCTTCTTGAATCGGATGACACATTTCCAAGGTGACACCTTCAGGAGTATGTAACATCTTGAACCCCGAGGTACTCAATTTATTCATTTATTGCATTTTGAGGGTCCTCATGATGTGAGATCTTGGGGTCACATCGGGAACTTTGGAGTCTCACGACGTAAGACATAAGGTTTCACACGTGAGAGTGGCTTAAGGACCATTAACCCTAATTTCCGAGTATTTAAGGTAATGAGAGGCTAGGGTTACCCATCCTCAACCTCTCTCACCCTCTAAGACTCTGGAAACCCTAGATTTCGATTCCCTTGAGAGATTTGGTGTTTTGCTTGTGGAAAGAAAGGAAAAGGAGAGAAGAAGAAGCATCATTATGAAGGGAGTTGCTTAGGATCATTATCTTCCTCATCTCTTAGCTTGTTGGACCCTTTGTAAGTGCCACGACTCAAACTTCATCTCATTTCATGGTTAGATCTAAGCTTTTGGTCCTATTTCTTTAAGTTGTAGCTTGTTGGAGTGAAGGAGATCCATAAATTTAGCAACTTTATGAATTCAAATGGTCTTTTGAGTCTTATATCATTCAGATCTAGAAGTTGATGTAGTATTAGAGGCTTGCATGTGAGTTTGAGATCATACTTCTACTTATGACCTACAAGGATGAAGGGACATGCATATCCATAAAGTAAGCATTTTTATGGACCATTAGGGTCCCCTTTAGCTTCTGGAGGGGTTGGAATTGAGGGCTGAATGGATTAAGAATGTTAAAACATTGATTTTGGCTTCAGACCGTTCTCACGATGTGAGACATGAGGTCTCACTACATGAGCAGGCGAAACTCGTCCCTTACTAGGTTGGGTGAGTCAGGAACGAGTCTTTAAACTCAGAACGGGCGACTGTCACAACGTGACCAAGGACTAGTCACAACGTAAGACTCTATTTTGGGCTTTTGGGGCCTTAATGGGCCAATATTTTTTTTTGACTTTGGGCCTTTTTGTGCTTGGGCCTATTTGGATCTTTGGATGTCATTTAGGAATTTGTCCTTCTTGTATTTGGGCCAATGATGGGTTTGGGGCTTATTTAGGAAGTTTGACCATTTTGGGATTTTAGATTGGGCCTCCGATTTTGGGTCGAGTGAGGAAAGGGTAAAATGGACTTTTATATGAGTGTTGGACAATTATACTAGGAATTCATCTTTGGGTTGTGTACCAATTATTAAGGGGTTGTTATCTGATGATGTTAGCGTGGGGATTTTCCAGATTAGCAGTTCGAGATTTTATTTGAGACATTCAGCAACTTGAGGTAAGTTTTCTGACTGCTCTTGATGGGTCGAAGGCACCAATGTCGGCCCATGATTGTTATGAATATGATGCTAGTTGTTTGTGTGACTCTTGCATGTGTTGTATATGATATGTATATCGGGCGGGGTCCGATGCCAGGAGGGGCCTGATAAATGAATTGTATGCTATTTTTCTTAGTGATTATTGCATGTGTTGATGTGTCTATATGTATACCGGGTAGAGCCCAATGCCAGTTGGGGCCTGATGGATGTGATGAGGCGGGGCCTTGTTGGGTTTTGATACGAAATAAAAGTTTGTTTTTCATAAAAACCGGCAACGGAAGACTTTAAAAATAACAAGTTTATTTTTAGTTCATAACAAAACCAAACCATCATGGATCTGTTTATAGAGGTTAGAATGAAATAAAAACAACCATAAGATGTTTTAGAGATAACCTTTGAAGCCTTTGAACCCACTTGTTTTTGGGGTGTTGATGAAGATAACAAAAATCAAAG